GGTGAATGGAACGTAAAATTCGCGAAATGTGGAACCGAGATGGAATGATTAGGCTTTACATGAAGGATTTTCAAGGATCGATCAATACAGGGGGCTTTCCCTGATTTATGCACATCTTAAACGTGATTACACTGTGATCGCCCTTGCCCAGCGGGCCTTCCATATTCACTTAACTAACGTCGTTCTCTGCCCCCGTAAGCACTAGATCTAAAAATCGAGTTAGTTGTCAAACATGTTGATAAAATGTCTGCTCATGGAAAATCCTTAGGAACTCTTCTTCAGAGGGACTATCTCCCGCGTCAGCGTATTCCCAATCTATTTCGAGCAGGTTAAAATGGCCAACTATGATGGTCTTCGTCGTTTTCCGAAGTAACCTGCTTAGTGTGTTTATCAGCTGTCTGCTCTCTTCTGATCTGGTCGAGGGTGCATTGTAGACTCCAAGGATGACGAAGTGTCGTCCCCGGTTCTGAATAGTGTATCCAACCGGTTGCACAGTGGGGGTGCACAGTCTCAGTTCAGCGGTTTCCCATTGATCATATTGATTCTTTACGATAATCAACACTCCACCTCCATTACCTGCCTCCCGGTCTGTTCCATACACAGCAACGTCCGGGGGGTTGAGGTGATCTATGACGTGTCTTGGAGACAATCATGTTTTAGTCAGAATGACTACGTCATATTCTGGGCATCTGGTTTTCAGTTCTTCCCACTTATTTCCAACACTGCAGACGTTTGTATGCCACGTTTTCAAACTTGCTTGTCGCAGTGATGGGGCCTCTGTGTTTAGATCATTTTATTTATGAGTTCCCTGGGGCGTATCACTCGAGGGCCCGGCACGCTTTTCACCGGGTATCTACTCCCACACTGGTTTCGTTTCTCCGCGAATCCTCATAGGGATTACTTTTTGGCTAAGCCATCTTGTCGATGACTGTTTTCTCACAGTCCAATTCCGACTCATTCCTATCAGGTTAAACGGAGGCATCGTATAAATAAAAACGAAACTCCTATCTGCGGCATTCTTATATCATCCCTTGGCCTCTTATTTTAGGGGGTGTTGTGGCCTGCGGTCGAGTGAAACGTTTACCGCGCATCACTTGGTTGACCATTGCCGCCTGCCACCACAGGCACGGACGCACGTCATACCTACTTACCCTGTTACAAGGTCGATCCGCCTCAGCGAATTAGAGGTCAGTATTGATCTCTCCTCATCGATTGGTTCGTTGACTTCCCAGCATGATGACACTCCCATTGGTAAGATTTGCGCCAGTTCTGTGCTTGCCTGTCTGCGTGTTGACGCACTGCTTGCTCACCGGCTTACGGACCGGCTACGTTTGCGTTTACATACTGGAAATATAATTACTACTTAATTCACTACTTGCCTACTTATTGACTCATACGTGATACAACGGGGGGTTTCCGTACACCTCGATGTGGTGACAGGGGTCAAAGTTATAGCCATATCTACGGCCGAAATCTCCTTTTGCGGCGTTGTTTTTATCCCTCGGCCGCATTTTGTTCATCTTATTGTCCGCTCCTGGTTTACACCGGTGCTATTTGGTTTGTCTTTTATCCCTTTACTGCAGGGTAATGGTGTTACAGGTAGTGGGTTCCGTTGTCGAATCTGTTGTTTGAAGTATATTTTCGGCCCTGTCGGTTGTAATTCTCCGTATACCGTGTGATGCCCGGGGTTGATGAGCTCGACAACATTTTCAGGGCTGCCTCAGCATGAAGTGGATGCAACGACCTCAGTAGAACTCGGCGTTCACTGCCCACCTTGTAACCTTAACCTGTACCAAGGTGTGGGTTCGAACACCTTGTGGGCCGCGCCTTATGGGTGCCCCTTTTCCTAGTTGCGGCTGATCTACTTTTAGACGAACGTCCACCAGGGGTCGTTTAGTCATGCGATTAAGGTCATCCGGTACTATTCGGTATCTACCCCCAGTAGCTCGTTCTATTTTGCACTACTGCATAATAGCATATCCGTAATATTGGGATTTCCGAACTCAACTAGAATGGGTCTAGCGACCCTGGCACCTGGTGCGCATTCTTCTCTCCATCTCCCAATCCTCTATACTTTATTTATGAGTCCATACATTGATGAACCTGCAGTCCTTAGGATATCCCGGATTCTTCGACCATCGATATCTGCCCGGACCTTCGCGTCTCTTATGACCGGTTCCTCGTAGTTCATAATGAGGACACTTCTGTTTAGGCCCGTCGTCAGTTTTTTGAGTGTTTCAATTCAGATAACTCGCTCTCGAGACTAGAAATCCTCTGCTCTAGACGTTTGATCGATTGTTCCTGGTCGAGATAAGTGTTGCGGTCTCAGTTGGCGGTACTGATAGGTTCGGGCACCTTATTTGTGCGCTTTCAAGTTCTGTTCCCTGCCATGGCTACGCACAGATTACACATACACTGGAGCACTGAATTACTCGATTATATTTCATAAGCTCTTTTGTCTAGGTGTGAACAGCCCGGGTGATACCAGTAGTCATATCAGTTGCATTGTATGCCGCTGGAGACTGACTTTTTACATTTCTGCACACCGCAGAATTCTGCTTTCGACATTCTTACACGTTTACTGTAACAGGCAAGCACGGAAGAAGACTGGTAAAGAATCAAGAAATTGTATTGTACGTAACGGCACTGAAAAAGTTAAATAGGAAAATGTACATGAAGAACTCTACATCACGTGAGCCTTCAACTGTTTCCGGGTTCTTCTTCGGTGGTTTGGCAATCCTTCACTGTTGCGGTAATAATTGGATAGGCTGAAACGCAAAAGAAACGCAGCTCCATCAGAACCTCACAATTCAAAGTGCCTGGTCTAATTCAAATAATAGTTTTCTCTGAACAGCCTACTCCTCACTGACAGCACCGTCCTCGGTGTTACTCCTATGCCCCCTTCGGCTGGTACTTTGATTTCCAATCCCACATCGTTTGTCGAGTTGTTACGTTCTTTCCGCTGGGTATACGGTTTCGGCTGGTTGAAATGAACTACCATAGATTGAGCGTTAGTTTGATTTACAGCCCGGATTACGCATGTTACATCACAGAGCACTTTTATCACCTGATATAGGCCGCGCTATTAATTGTGTAATTTCGTCAACACTCCAGGGTTCGGTTTACTCACGTGCGGCCACACCATCTACCCAACATGGCAAGGAGTCCCAAAAGACCTTTTATTGTAGTATTATTTTGATGTCTCTGAGCAGTTTTTAATTGTGTTTGAGTCGCCTGTTGCGCCCCACGAAGCGTATCGAGAAGCTTGCATACGTAATTTGTCACCATGGGATGTGGATGTGTTACTGCTGGTAGTATGGTGCTCGATGGAATTTGGACCTCTCTACTCGTCAAAGGGAAATGAGGAGTGTGCCCCGTGGAAGCGTGAACCGAACTGCGATAAGCCGACAGACACTTGCTGAGTGTGAGGTGCCAATCCAAAACATTCTTAACGTAAATGCACCGAATAGTGCCTTGAGAGACCTATTGGTTCTCTCCACTAGCCCATTTCCTTCAGGGTGATAGGCTGTAGTTTGGGTTTTACTGAATTCCAATGTGCTAACTCGGATGTCATGTTCGCTCGGTGTACCATCGGTTGAGCTACCTGAACGGTAATTGGATGACATGAAACTGTACCTAGCCGTGCATGGATTGCGGTCACGGAAGTCTGGATTATCACAACTCTCTTCCCTCAACAGTGCCTCGTCAATCTGGCTTGCCTGACGGCTAGAACTGTGGACTGCAATCGCTGGCTCCACCTGGTCCTGGCGGTGTCCTTGTGTTTTGATTGGTTGTTTCTGCACATATGACTGATGCGGCTCCGTTGGTTGTGCTGATGGGGTATGCAGCTGATTGTCTCCCTCGCTTAGCTTTTGATGCCACTGGTCCTTGGATGGTTTGAAGTGGATTTGGTCTACGTGTCGCTTGTGCACAGTAGCATCATTGAAGTCGATAATTTCCACCATGGCTTGACCCAGTTGTCGTGTGACTATACCAGACGCGGGTCGCAAACCATTACCACGGAAGTATACGACGTCACTCGAGTCGAGGCACTGTAGGGAGGATCGCAAGCGTCTGGATTTAAAAAGCATTGCCTGGTTCTCCTTGGTGGTTGTATGTGTTGCGTTCCGGTATTGGAGTAGGAAGTTATCCACCAACGTTTCCAACTCATGTAGAGTTTTAGGATTGGCAGATGCAATTGCACTCTTGACAGTTTTGACTAAATTCTCTGCCGCTTCGTTTGAACAGGGCTGAGGAGGCACAGTTCGCAGATTTCGGCAA